AACAGAATAAAACTGGAGCAGCTCAGATCATTTTGCTCTGTTCAGTGTATCTATTTAAATAAAACTGAATGCAAGGCTAAGAGAAACTTGCAAATACTTGTAGTATTTGCTTAAAAAGGTAAATTCACAGTTACACATGTTAATTACATGGGAGCAACCAACAAGTTACATGAGGTCAGTGAGAAATTACACATCTAAAGTGAGCAAGTAAGAGCCAACTTCTCCAGAAACCACTTTCCTCACTCAGTGTTTCAAAATCTCTTATTTTTCAAAGGTCATGAGCACACAAGGAACAAATTTTTTTATTTCTTAACAAAAAAATACCTGTTTTAGACATCCATATAACCTCTAGAAAATTATGCTCAAATATTGAAATGCATAAACATATGTACTTTGCACATCTTGTCAACATCTTCATTTGGTCTTTGACTATGCATCATATAATCCGGATCTTAGAGACTTAGACAGTACTTTATTGATCCCTTTAGTAAGACTCCCTCAGTAAATTAAGGTTACCAGCAGCAAAAAAAGTATTAAGTTAAATTAAATGAAATTAAGCAAGATAAGTTAATAAAAAATACAAAGAATATCGATTCAACCCATTGTATTTACTAATTGGTTTAACCGACACCGGTATTACTGGTAAATATCAGCGTCAACTCTACAGAATTCTTACTTTTTGTGCAAGAAAATGTGTGGTACTGAATTGGATTTCTGACAAAGCACCAAGTAAATCACAATGGCTAAATATAGTACTGGACTATATATCTTTGGACTATTTGACGAGCAAACTGCACGATAAAGAAAATAATTTTTATAAAGTTTGGGAACCTTTTATTTCTTATGTAGGATTTGAAACTTCGGTTCTTCTTCGAATAGGACTTGTAATTTGAGGATGTCCGAATTGTAAACATCTGAAATGTTTTGGTATAGACCTTTTTTTTTTTGTGTGTATATGTGTGTATGTGTACGCATATGCTCGTATATAGGTATGTAACTTTAAGAGCTGGATTGTTCTGTTGTTCTTGTCTTGTATTGTATTTGTTTGTTTGTCAAAACGTTAAAAACCAATAAATATAATTATTGAAAAAAAATAATACAAAGAATACAGATTAAGTACGTCCATCAGACATCTAATGTCAAATAAATGGCTGCTTCACTTATACACAAGATTAAAACCCAAAGGCTCTGCAGATTTAACCAGTACTCACGGATCCCAAAGGTCAAAGGGGAAGCAGAGGAGTGACGGAAGGCGGTCGGCATGGCAACAGCTCCCCGGGTCCTAAAAGCCTCAGGCTACGTTAGAGGCGGGAAACTTAAATACTTCGTCTTTTTCACCGTAGCGCCACTACATTTGTCTGTTTATCGTGAATTAAATAAACCGGCTGAATACATACCCATTAGTCGTTTCATATCTACACAGAACTAACCACCATTTTTTAATACATAAATACCGAGTACTGAAGCAAAGAACGACTAACCGCTAACTGTTAAGCGATAAACGGTTAGCATACCAACCCGGTTAGAGATCGTACCACTTAGCCAAAATAAATTTCATTTACCAGTACATACCTTCTGATAAGTTACAGCAGCTCCACACATCAGCTAAATATTCGTAAACCATTAAATTATCGGCGTTTGTCAGTCTTCGGTGTCTTAACCGTGCTGATGACAGCTGGATCTGCCTCCAACGGCTGCCGGTGAGTCCTGCCCAGCAGCCCAGAGACTGTCACCGGATTGGCCGGAGCCACCTCCTTTAAACCAATCAAATGAAAGAGCCATGAGTACACTTAGAACAACGATAAAAACACTCACTTTTCAGACCTTTTAAAGAAAAAGTTTTAGCAATTTTTTAAACATATTTTATGTTATTTCAACTCAAAACAAATTATTGTAAAGCTATAAATAGCTATAGGAAATAAATAAATTATTTAGTTAAGCTACAAAATGTTAATCTATTTCTATTCTGTTTTTGTTCTGTGTGAAGTATAATTTTAAAGTTGGTAAGAGATGTTTACTAATAAAAAATTATCCATAAATCTTCAGGTCCATCTGTATCCATAAGAATGTCACAGTATAATTTTATAATAGGAATAAGGAACTTTTAACATTTATTTATAAACACTGCACTGTAAATCTATCTGACCTGAAGAAATTAAACCGTAGGAAAAAACATTTTTTATGATCATTGTGTAGTAGATCATTAAGTGATTATTAGTATTATCTTCAGTGTTTGCCCTCTGCTGGTCTTTATTTAATACTTCCTGTACGTTTACTTTTGGATTAACATAAAGAAGGAGGTGTTTTATCTTGCAGTGATAATTAAGCAATGACTTAAAGTTCCCTTTTTGGCTGCTGTCCTGCAGATTTTAGATGCTTTTCTTCTCAAACTCACCTGATTCTCTTTAAATGGATCAATTTAAACCATTAATTTCTGCACCAGCTGCTGATGGTGCATTCTCACATTGACCATTTTAATAGTTTCTAAAGCTTCAATGTGTTGCAGTTTTTTATCTGATTCTGAGATAAACTCATATCTAATTATCTTGACAGTGTTCTGAACTCCTCCCCCTATTAGTTAAGCTTCTTAGGATCGAACTCCATCTCCCAGCATCCTTTGCCAGAAGCTGTGCAGGATTCCAGAGACTGTTTGGTTTTCAGAGACCAGCTGGTTTGTGGAACTGTTTTTCTGTGAAATGAATGTGCTGATCACACCGTGAGTGGAAGAAACGAAAACAATACAATAGATCAGATGTTACGATCGTAAATAAACCCACATTGATGGAAAATACAGGTCTGCCTGTTTATCTGCTCTGAATGTGGTGTATTGTCTCATTGTTTTATTCAATATGTTAATTTCTAAACACAGATATGAGCTCACCTGTTTTCAAGTAAGAGAAAATGGCCGCCGCATCAGACCAGGAAAATTATCTCAGTCCACCTAAAGCACAAGTTTAACACAGATCTCTTTCAGATAGAAACTTGTTTTGGTGACGGCTCCATAAAACACTACCTCAGAGGGAGGAGACTCAGAGCAGATTTAAAGCAGCAGAAAGTGAAACTCTTCTTTATACAGACAACAAGACATCAGCAGCTCACCATCCTGTCAAAGACAAACATGGCCAGCAGCAAATATTCTCTTCTTCGTAAGTATAATTCTTACTTTTACATGTTTGAAAACTCACATTTGGACAGTTAGGTTAAACATTTAATATACTTTTTCTCAGTTTTGTGTCTTGTATGAGGCCAACCGTAACACCATGTCCAAAGTCAGAAATATTAACCTTAATTATATATTTTCTGATCTAAAGAAAGATTAATAATTAGTCTGCCGAATCACATCGTTAAGAGTATTACTTTTTCCAAGAATTTGTACCATCCTCCAAAACACAAAATAAAATATGAAACCATAGTCTGTTAACAGGCTGAAACCAGATCTTTTGTAGGGAAGAACTGAAATGCAGATAAACTGAACCACGGCCCCTTTCTGTGGACCTGTCTTTCAAACTTGTGGTGGGGTGTTTGGTTTCCATATTTCCTTAATTATCTGTTTCTGAGCTAAACTGGTCTATAAAGTGTTTTATTACTACTGTTGTGTAAACAAAAGCACATCATATTTTAAATCATCTGTTCAGAGTAAATCAGTGTGTTAACGTCAAACCACCAGACGGTAAAATCAGGAATCAGATTAAACATATTTCTGAGCGGCAGCTTTGGAAAATAAGAAGTTATCTCAGAATCTCTGACATGAATGTATCTGCATTTTGATCAGGGTGTTTTGGGTTGTAGACAAAGCTGAAGAATCTCAAAGGACACGTCTACCCAGCTTGGCTGCAGTCTTTCTGACATCAACAACATTGTTTTTTCTGTCCAAAATAAACAGGAATTATGGGACTCTGTTCTTGTTTTCATAATCTGACTTCCAGTAAAATGATTCGTCATTACTTAAAAAGAATAAGCAACATTAGGCTACTTCTTTCTATTCCTGAATCGTATGTCAGATTTGTGTTGTTAAAGCTGCACTCAGGTTCAGTTTGTGCAGATCAGCATGATTTTAGTCTGAATTCATGAGTGAAAAATAGCCTCCACAAAGCTAAGTGAGGGGCAGGTTCAGCCAGAGAAAAAGGACTTATTCAGGAACATATTTATGTGACCTAATATCAGCAGAGCAGTATTTTACATTATTAGAACATGTAAGTACTAAATCGCATTTAGCTGAGGTAATTTAACAGCTTAACTTATTTACTACTTCTCTGATTCAGATGTCAGGTTTTTGCTGAAATAATATTATTTATTTAATTCAAATCTGCTTGCAGTTTGATAAATACACTTTTTAATTGCTAAAAAGTGTTTGAGGGCCTTTCTGCATTTATGGTAATAGAATTAAAAAAGCAAAAAATCTGATCTCTGTACAAGTTACATGATGATTCTCAAAGAAATACCTATTGTATATACCCCATTTCTGCTTTTGTAGTCAGATTTGTTTATGGGTTTGTACTTTTGTGTTTCTGGTTCCTGTTCAGGCTCAGAGGAGCTTTCATTCATCAACTTCATTATTAAAGTTTTTTTTCAGTGAATGTTTTCCTCCAATTCTCCTACAGAATCAAAGGAACCAGAACTCAGGATGGTTCTTGTTGGAAAAACTGGAACTGGAAAGAGTGCTGCAGGAAACACCATCCTAGGGGAGAAACGGTTTATATCAAAGATTTGTGCTATAGGAGTGACAGCAGAGTGTAAGAAGGAAACTCGAGTGTTTGGTGGTAAAATACTTGATGTCATTGACACTCCAGGGCTGTTTGACCCCATTAGGAGCAATGAGGAGCTGGTGAAAGAGATAGCTAAGTGTATTTCTCTTGCGGCTCCTGGTCCTCATGCGTTCCTGGTTGTGATCCAACCGAACAGGTTCACAAAAGAAGAACAAGAAACAGTGAAAATCATCCAGAAAATGTTTGGAGAAGAAGCAGCACGTTACACAATGGTGTTGTTCACCCATGGAGACGACCTGAAGAGGGAAGGCGTCTCCATAGAAGAAATAATAGGTCAGAATCCAGCTCTGACTGAGTTTGTTGATCAGTGCAAGGGAGGTTATCACGTGTTTGAAAATATGGATTCTGATGAGTCTCAGGTCCACGAGCTGATGGATAAGATCAATAAAATGGTTCAGAAGAACGGTGGAAGATTCTACACCAACGCGATGTTTGAAGCAGCTGAGAAAGCAAAGATAGAAGAAGAACAACGACTTCTGCGAGAAAACCCACATATGGATCGTGAAGTAGCCAGAAGACAGGCAGAGACAGACAACTCATTCATTAGACTTTGTCTGATAGCTGCAGCTGCTGCAGCTGCTGGAGCTGCTCTTGGAGCTGCTGCTGTAGCTGCAGCTGGAGGTCCAGTGGGAGCTTCTGTTGGAGTTGCTGCTGTAGCTGCTGCTGGAGCTGCTGCGGCAATAAAAGAGAGAGCATGCATCGTTCAGTGATTGTCTCTGTTACACATTTGCATCAAATAATTAAAAGGTTCATTAAGCTGAAATATCTCGATGTGAATCATACCAACACTTTTTGTGATTCTGATTTTTTTCTTATTGGGGTCAGATTGTCTGTTTTTGCTCATTAATCATCCATCCATTATCGTTACCCCTTATCCCCTAATGGGGTCGGGGGGAAGCCTATCCCAGTAGCCAATGGGGAGAGGCGGGGTCAATCTGGACGGTCCCCAGTCCATCACAGGGGCACACAGAGACACACGAGGACCCACAACCACACACACTCACACTAAGGGCAGTTTGGAGTCCAACATCCTAACATGCAGGTTTTTGGACGGTGGGAGGAAGCCGGAGAACCCAGAGAGAACTCACAGACACAGGAGAACATGCAGACTCCCCTCAGAAAGGTCCTGGTTCCCCCAGGACTCCAACCCAGAACCCTCTGGTCCTGGTTCCCCCGGGAAATCCAACTCAGAACCCTCTGGTCCTGGTTCCCCCGGGAACTCCAACCCAGAACCCTCTGGTCCTGGTTCCCCCGGGGACTAGAACCCAGAACCCTCTGGTCCTGGTTCCCCTGGGACTCCAACCCAGAACCCTCTGGTCCTGGTTCCCCTGGGACTCCAACCCAGAACCCTCTGGTCCTGGTTCCCCTGGGACTCCAACCCAGAACCCTCTGGTCGTGGTTCCCCCGGGGACTCCAACCCAGAACCTTCTTGCTGCAACGGTGGTAACCACCACACCACTATGCTGCCCTACTCTTTAATCAAACTTTTAGAAATCATGTTTCTTTTCTTTT